TAAAAAAGATAATTATGCGACGCCTTATGATTGTGAGTTTTAATTATTTTGTATGAAAATATCAATACTGGACGCAATGAATGATATAAACCTATAAATGTTTATATCAAACTCCCCCCTACAAAAATCGTTTTATTTTAAAAATTCACAAATCTCAAATGTAATAACATGCAATAAAAGTTCAACGACCAAGTAACAAAAAAAAGATCATGGGTTATAACACAATTGAATAATATGAAAATATCGCTAATTGTTTTTACAAAACAATTGAGGCAATATGTTAAATACCTGCTATTAAGTTTAATATTCCCAATCATCGGATAAAAACTTAGAATTTAAGCTTATTGACTAAATTCACCTTTTATCGCAGAGCTGCTTTTATCGCAAACGTATACTTCTACTTCAGCTTTTACTAATTGCGTTAACGACATTTTTCTATAACCTTTTTAATTTCTGATAATACATTAAAATATATAGATATAACGGTGTTCGATAACAAGATGCTTGATTACAGCATTAATGTGCTTCTAATTACAATGGAACTAGTTAATCACTTCAGATATAACCAACAAGAGTTATCATTGCGTTGAAGCATTGCATTATTTTTTGCAATTTATCGTTTACATTTTACTGTAAAGGTCATAGTTAATGTTCATAAATGTGGATAAATAGTCGTTCTGTTTAAGATTGGCTTAGATCGTATATCCATAAATTTTAGTTATGATACCTTATATGTACAATTCTGTGCAAAAACATAAACTACAAAAAAATAATTTTAATGCTTTTGGAGAAATGAAAATATATATTTTGAAAAGATGAATGCATGGTCAAAAAGTTCACATCACTACTTTTGTGATAAAGATGTTGAACTAAGGTTTCACTTATAAAGAAAAGAAGCCAGTATTATCTTCTTCGCTTGTAAGTTTGCTGTAAAGATGATTTCCTCTCAATAGATGTTTAAATCAAACGGTGACTTTTAACGCATCTATCCCATCGAACTTGAAAAAAAGGAAACCACAGACACGGCTAAATCTGCCTCATTTCTTTACTAATATCTAGAAACTGACCATGAGTGTTGGTTCAGAACAAAAATTTACGACAAAAGGCATGATTTAACCTCCCTTATTATAAACCAGTTCCCTAAAGCAACATTCCAGCAGCTCCTGTATATGGATTACATATATCAGGTTAAACGATATTCCAGAGCTTGCATTTCCTATCATGATTTCCTTGACAGAAGACTGCCGCTTACACGAAAACTTTTGAACCATGGGGTTCAGGTGTTAAAGTTGAAGTCATCTGTTCGAAAATTTTACGGACCTTGAATTGGTTGGCCGCTATTGGATATATGTTTTCACAGATGACCATATATATCTTACATAATCCCGTCTTCTTTTTCTTTATTTGTGACAGTACTAAATGAAACTTATCACTGAATTTGTACCTGCAATCAGTAACATGATGGAAGTCGCTTGTGGAGCAGGATTTACTTACCTCATGGAACATCTGAATTTACCATCGATCATTGATTGGTTTCGTCTTGCTTGGTCGTTAGTTACTATGTAGTGTTTAGCCAGGAATAGCCTCTCACGAATCTTTTAACTTTATCGAAAACACGTTTAACTTACTGAAAAATTGTTAACACTTGGACATCATTTCGTGAACAGTATTTCAATTAATTTACGTACCTTGCAAAGGGTGCTGGGGTCAATGGAACAGAAAACCAGGGTCGTTTCCCGAAAGTTTACCAAAGAAATAAAAAACAATTTCAATCTATGTGCTTTTGGTTTTGTTTTTTCCCCCGCGTTTTAGACCTTATTTTGACGAGTACAGAATCCCTGTCATAATTCCACTCAACCAAAACGGGCAGGTCGTGTATTTGGTACATATTCCTTCATAAATGCATATCCCTAACGTTGGAATCCCCTATCCCAGGTCTACCGCCTTATTCTTTAGTTATAAAGCATTCCCATTTCATGTGTTAACACACATTAATTAAAGTTTAAGAAGAAAGCTCGAAGTGTCTGTAATGAGTATAATTTATATGATAATGGATGGAAGTTTGTTCGTGATCGAATCGAGGTTTGTATTTGAATTTTCCCGACATGTTTTGGGTGTGAGAACAGTAATATAATGAACAGCAAGACGTTGGCTCACACACGAAAGAAAGAATTTAGTCGAGACATCACATTATTTACGTGACGTACGTGTATTTGGGACGGAAGTGACGTTGAAGTGTGTGCTAAGTGGATATTGTTAACATTCAAGGAACTGCAGTCTGGAACATAGGTCACCTATAAAAGTAAATATAGAAATAAGAAGATGTGGTATAATTGCCAATGAGACAACTCTCCACCACAGACCAAATGACATAGAAGTTAACAACTATATGTCGCCGTACGGCATTCAACAATGAGAAAAACCCATACAAAGCATGATATACTGTACTGTAGATCCAAGTTAAAGTATTTAGCAATCTTCTTTTTGTTTTTAGTGAGTATTTATTTTCTTTATAATACGGACTTGTTGTTTTGTGGGAATCTATTTTCCCAGCGCTTGGTGTGTACGGAATTGTTGAGCTAACGAATTTTTCATGTAAACGAAGTAGTTTTAATTGCCATTGATATTGAATTCTAATGACAACACATTCGTTTATACAGATATTCCTTAGTCTCTCCAATATTTACGAATTCACTAAGAGTACATTCCAACTGTTCATCTTTCTTTACAAAAAAACATCCATAGACAATCGACAGCAATGGAAGTAATAACAAAACTGATATGCCGTTTTATAGTTTCAGCGGACGTGTCGCTTATTAAAAACTATTTCATATATATGCAAAACAATAGTAGAAATTTTATGATTTTGAACGCTTTTAACGCAGAGCTAAACTCTACTTAACACTTCATATCAAAGTCATATACTGTCGGAAAATTTCAAATTGTTGGTACTTTGGTCTACATGAATATAAAGTGTACAGACAGAAATGTGTACCTAGGCGAAACAAAAATCTTAATTTTTACCATTTAATTACATTTTCTATATGATTGATTGCTTGTTGTTTGAATAATGCATAGTGCCAAATGTTTGCTGCTTATTCGGGAAGAGAACAAAATAACAATAAATCCAATCAGTAACTTTTGCAATGTGGGTAGAACGAAGGGCGATAATTTCGACTGCCACTGGAAAATGTTGAATAGAGGCAAAAAACTTTGCCTTGAAACAGCTCAAATATGGACTCCTAAAAGAGTTGGTGCAATGTTTATTTAACGTACAGAGTGTGTAGCTATCTCCATAATCTAGGAATCGGATTTAATGTCCAACTTCCGATAGAACGTAGCTGTGTATAATAGTCAAAAGGACTCCTTACTTTTTAGCATGTATTTTGCTGCCGGTTGTTAGAAGTGTCTAGGAGTGACTATATTTCAATTTCCTAGTAAAACCTTGGGTTAGTATTCTATATGATTTAATGGAGATATACGCCAATGACAAAACAACACAAACAAACAAACAAACAAATTATTCCGTACAAATACGTGCCCCAATTTAATTGCATTGTCATTAGAAGCAAGCGAGAGAGACATAAGCCGTTACATTGTTTCGGAACAAGAATGCTGTCAATACATATTGCGTATGCACCTTATTTCGTTCCCGTTCCATTTCACAGAGTTAATGTAAAACACAAACTCAATAAAACTAGAGAGAACCGTTGTAAGAAATCTAACTTTCAAAAAAGTGTAAGCGATCAAAACCTAAAGTACTCTATGCGTAGTACTTTTTTAAATATCAATTACCTTTACAATGCCCATTAAGGTTGTATTCTTCTGATATTTCAGTCTTGTTGAAATCTCGTTCGGGAATTATTTCCAAAACATGTGATACAAGTGGAAAATATTAATGAATTCAAAAAATATTATAATCAAACTAAACTCTGTGAAAAAAACTGTGTACTTACTATAAGTAGTTTTTGAGTAATAAAAATTTCAAATTTTATAACCAATACGGTCAGTTTCATCAGCCGAAATGTTGAGAAAATGAATGAGGGGTACAAAGAAATGATTTTACCAAAAAATGTACATCCCATATCAATTTTCAAAATTCTTAAAGATTTTTTTTTTTCAATCATTTATAACAAAGAAGTTGAAATAATATGCTTTTTGTTCTAAGAAAAAAGGGAAAAATCACAAATTTACAAAATTGACAGCATGGTCAATATGACACGAAAAAGCAACTATATTTTATAAAACTTTCTATTATTCACACCAATCTATAGTGTTTTTTTAAGCTAAATTTATTCAGATTGGTCCACTTCATCTTTAGTGAAAGTATGACAAAAAGTTTAATTGTGAAACATGATTGTAGCCCAAAAATAGGTAAAAATTGATGAAAATGGGAAAATCATTAAAATTGGGTACTTTTTTCAAATCGCCGTAGCAAAAAAAAAAAGAAGTGCACCACCATATGATTTTTTCTTCATCAATTACTTTCTCACAGTCACATGAACCCAAAAATCAGGTTAAGAAAAAAAGTTTAATTCAAGAAATTTCTGGCTCCTCAGAGGTGTAGATCCTTACACGTCGAGCTTTGAAATTAAATAAGCATTCTTAAATTCAGAATTTAAAATTTGATAGATTCTTGTTTATGCATAAAAATCCTGGCCATTGCATGCATATGCTTGTTTATAATATGGAAGTCTTATGACTTAATGATTACAAAATGTATGTAACTAACAGAATGTGATAATGTGATAAAAAAAAAGATTAATAAATTTAAAAACAATCAACAATGATTAAAATACATAAAACAGGATTTGAAAAAGATTAAATGAAATTTTGAAGAGGACCGTAGATCCATATTCATAATTATAATAAGCAAAATTCCAACATTTTTAAGATAACTTTTAAACGAACAAAACCCCAAAACTCTACAAATATTTGACTACAAAAATGTGGTAGGACAAAAATATGAACATTGTTACAACATCTGACGCATAACTTACATGAAATTGGTAGTCTAAGTCGTACAAAAGGGTTTTATATACACTTTCAGTGTTCCGTGGGTCCAATAGAACTTTTGCTAAAATTCCTTGTAGATTTCCGAATGGTTCATCCTGATAACCTCGTTCGATATCTGATGAATCGTCCACTGTTTCTGCTGAGTAACAAATATGATAACATTGATAAAAAAATAATAATTCTAAAATCTTCATGTTATGTATCTTATCAAAAGTTTGAATATGAATGAAAGGCTCTACGGATTGTAATAATATTAAATATTTACAATGTGTAATATTTGTATTAACTGCCGCCTACAAAGCTCTGGAGATCAAATGTATCAATTTATGTTAATCTGAATTATGACACCGAACATCTTTGTCTATTAACCAACTATGAAATGCTCAACTAATTAACGCAATTTTTTCCTTCCGGCAATATATTCATTCGGAAAACCAATATCAATATATTTGACTGCCTTTATCAGCGCTTACTAGCCACCCACTACTGAAAGACTTTGCGATAAAGAGTGAAAAATCTCTGGGTTAATCTAAGAATGACAATTAACCTTCTATTTAACATGAACTCAACCATAGCTTCTGATTTCAACAGTTTACCAAAGGTTTAAAATTCTTACGGTATGATAACGTTTCATATAATTTGTTTTCTTTATTTAGGATTCTGTTGTAATGCTAGTAGAGGAATAGTTGTTTCGGTCGTCATAAATTACCATTTATTTAATTGTTTAATGAATTGCTTCCTAAATTTATTTCCTCATTAACTTAATTTTAGCTTTTGTGAATTTCTTAAATTTGCTGTATAAGTGCTTAATTTAAAACTTTTCGATTTTTACCGCTGCTGATCTCCTGTCGGGTGTTCCAGAAGTTGTCCATAGAGGCGCTCGCCAAATCAGCTGTAATTTGAAATTTGTCAGACAGTTCTAAATTTTTATACAAGTTTGTAAATTGTAAAAAATCTGTTAAATTCTATTTGGTGCATTACTGTTTGTTTTTCATACAATACTCTCTCTCTCTCTCTCTCTCTCTCTCTTTCTCTCTCTCTCTCTCTCCGAATACACAATGTACTAGAACTACACTATTACAGAATACTGATATACGGCCATATATTCGAAAAATGTTTTCTCTTCAATGCTCGAAATCTAATATTGCAAATTTAAGTAAACAGTTATGTGAAACAATTGTTACACCACCTTGTGAAACCTATATTGAAGTTGAGGGCAAAGTGAAATGGAAATTGAACATGTGTGCAGGTTCTTTTTCTCTTAGTCTATATTTTAAATTGCAGATTCAATGCCGTATCGAAAATTTTATAAAAAGCGCATGATTTTAAGTAAACAACCATCAATTATGTATATTACATTAAAACCCAGAAAATGTTTAAAAAAGTATATGAAATATTGTTACAGAATAAATTGATTTCTTCTTTGTCGAGAAAGATATACAATAGTTTGTTTTTATATTGTTGTTCATGTCGTAATGTTTTAAACGAGTGGATAGTGAGATAAGTCATATTAAGTTCAATTCCTTTTTGCATGCATAGAAATATGGATTAAAGAAGACATGAGGTGTACGTTAATCAGACAGCAACACAACCATACAAATAACCAAAAGACCTCTAGAGAGTAACATTCAGATAAACACAAAAAAGACAAAATAACCAACAACAAAAATAACACACATTAAGATAAATATATGAATATATGTACATTGTCGGAAAATATAAAATTTAATTGTACGAGCTTTAGACACAGGACGAAAAGCAAGGCTCGCCGAGCTTTTCTCTTGTTTCGTAGCGAGAATAAAATTAAACGTGCATGTGAACTGTCACGCAATAAGAAATAGTCACATTACCGCTTGCTCAACAAGGACGCGGGGTAACAGGGGACTTTATTTGTACAAATACAAGTGAAGCAAAAATTTATTTGTGCACCTGTAATTTGTGCAATCGTTGATTGCAGGATAAAACATAGGACAACCACTGAAGATGTTATAGACTTTAGTGAGAATGTATGAAATCACCTCATAAAAAACTAATGAGATTTTTTTTTCAAATTTAAGTTTAAGCCTGGTATCTATTATGAGTTTATATATGACCTTTAAGTCAGTGATTTTGGTAAGGGCATTAAACCACATTTCTAGATAAATTTTAGAAAAATATATTTACTATTGGTCACTTTTGTATAATTTCTTTCTGGTGGTTACCATTTTAAAAAACTTAATGTGTTTCTAAACTGTATTTTTTCCAATTTGATGTATCATACAGCAATAAAATATCAAATAGAATAAAAGATGAAAAGGGGTATGCCATCAGTTGCGGATCCAAGAATATGAAAGCGGGTAATTTTATTCAAAAAATGTTATGTCAAGAACGTTTTTAGTTTTCTTTCAAATTAGTGTAACAAGTATCACCTCATAGACAAAAAATATAAAATCAATGTGCTTCTTTAAAAGGATGGAACAACACCAGGCGCCGCTCACTGACTCTACAGTTGACACCGTTCAATTGTTAGTTTTCTAGGAATATAAGAAACTAATGAATTATGATTCACAGTTCTCCTTTCTTGAATCCTTTCAAAAAATGGCAATTAAGGGTGTAGTAGTCACAATTGATTATGTACGTGATGTTCCCTTTTTTCAGAACATTAATACAATGCGCTGTAAGTGTACATCAATGAGACAGCAATCAAACGACTGTATGAACTACTAAAAGCAATCTGGAGGTCAGAATATCAGAATACGGCTATCAATAATAGATAGATGTGTATACTGTGGATTCATTTATTTTCGTGGGTACCAATTTTCGTGGATTAAGGAAAACTGACATGTTCGTTGATATTTAATTTCGTAGTTTTGACGAAGTCTGCATACACGCCTATGGAAAATTTGTTATTCGTTGAACATTTAATTTCGTGGTTCACCTGTACCCACGAAATCCACGAAAATTGGTATCCAACGAATAATAATGAATCCACAGTACCACATGTTAAACTCTAAATCACTCCGGGAACGCGTTGGTATGCCTCTACAGGTGTGAAAACAGGTTTAAGGAAACACACGGTTTTAATATGTTATAGACCGTTTTTGATACTTGTATTCTTGATCCACGTTTTACCGAAGATATGAATTTTCTTTTTCTTTCAAGTAAAAGTGAAAATAGTGCTAACAATGTTTTTACAGTCAAGATAGGGGAATCATCGGTTCTGTTGTTTTCGTTTTGATAGTTATAAAGGTGATAGAGTTCAATCTAGCCTTCGGATTGCATTAATTGCATACCATTATAAAAAAAAAAACCTTTTGAAATTTCTCTTGTCAAGTAATAATTTTGTCTTAATCATCCGTTTTCCAAATGGTTCAATATGTTGTCTTATTTAATTAAAACGGAGTGTAAAACTGGCCTTTGGTTAAACAATGATTATAAATCAACATATAGAATTATCAATGGAATGGTATAACCCGCGGGAAGTAATATATTTAGTTAATATCCAATCTCCAGCAGTATGTTAAATAATATGACGGGTTGTTATGTATTATTGTTCGTTTAATTGGATAAAACGAAAACATGTTCAAAACAAGAAAAAGGTTGGAGATCAAAGACTTGATTTTAGGGGAGGGGCAATGAACTTATCTGGATTCCAAGACTTTTTTCCCATCAATTCACAGCCGAACGTTTTTCCTTGTAAGATTGGTTCCTGCATATTTTTTTTCATAACCAAACACTATTTACAAACACACAAAATTTTAATCGATATAAGATTATTTGGAGAAGTTAATACCTTATGTCTTATAAAGTTAATAAGTGTACGAAAAACGAATAAAAAGTTAAGTTTGAAAATTTACCTGAGCAAAATCAAAAGAATTGTGAGGATTTTATGGCTTTAGAATGTTCCCCACTTGAATGGAACAGGTAGAAATTAAGATATCGAGTAGGTAAATAAATTGGAAGCAAACACCAGATTTAAAGTGTAAATTCTACTGTTGAAATACATTTCAGTTGTCATAGTTACAAGTTTAAAATCATTTAATATCCCAAAACTGAACAGCACATTCATTTATTTATATACAGCTTAAAGTTGTCCTTTTCTTTCTGTAGTTGTTGGGTTACTTTTCTACTGACCAATAAACAACAGGATTTTTCTGGGGTTTTTTTTTTTGGGGGGGGGGGGGAGAATTTTGAGTATTTACAAAGATATATAATTGCTTCTATTTATTAGAGATAAATGCCTAGGAAAACCGAATTACTAAATATTTCTCCTTATAACAGTCATAAATCTTTCTTCTAAGTCAACATGAACAGCAGGTGGTTAAAGATTTAGTTTCGGTCTCCACAAATTGAAACAATCTCAGAGAAACTATGACGGAAGAGTTATTCGTACATTCCAGACTATAGAATGAACATACGATGAATATAGTTTCCATTTTTGCCATCCCTTGACTTTGGGAAATCTGGGTAAGATTACAGGTTAACTTATTTAGGTAAAAAGCGCAATTGTCCGATCAATTTGGTTCAGGTGTATTAAAGTTTAAAGCGCAAATGTCCATATTGGTTGAGCGCAAGTGTCCAGTTGTGTTACAGGTAAAAAATCGCAAACGTCCTGCGCCCGTTGAGATCTGGTAGCCGAGACAAATCTGGAGAAAATTGTATTGATTTTGCTGACATGTTGACAGTGTCGTCTCGTATGCGCTTGTCTATTATAGTATTTACTAATATAACACCGTATAAAGCTAAGCTACAATGTGAAGGCAAGAAAAAGGAATATATAATCAAAGTTTAAAAGACAATTGGCAGAGACAAAATCCGGATAATTTTCGATCATTAATAAGATAATATGACTTAATTTTGAATCGGAATGGATAAGACATTAAAATTGATTGTTATTATACTGCATTTGTACACTGCTACTTTTGCATAGTTACTATTTCTGTAATTAAAATCTGTAGTACTGGAAATTTATTTTTGATATTTAGTACTATTTCTTTACTTTAAAGTCATTGTAATATTTAGGTACCTGTATTTTACAGTACTTGATTTGTACTTAAAATTTTGTTACAGAAATAATACCAACAGTGATCACAATATTCCATGTTTGAAAATCATAACTTTAAGAGATTTGAAATGGACAAACTTTCTAAATGCTAAAAATGTAATGGTGTAACCAAAAATCTGTAGTACTTAAATTTTAAGTACAAATCAAGTACTGTAA